ATATCCCATCAATATTAAGTTACCAAAAGAGTTTTAATCGTATAAGGAAAGAAAATTTCGTATCGAAAAAATTACCATGCGACCGCATGGTTTTAATCCGCGCGACCTCATGGTTATTCCATGTTTCGATTTAAATTCCCTGCATCCATTCGTGCGGCCGCATGAGAGTTCTACCATGCGACCGCATGGTAGACTTCAACTTCTATTCTCTTCAATTTAGTCCCTTTACTTGAATTTTTCACTTCTAGGCATCTTTTCTTCACTCTTTCCATTCCATCATCCCAATGCATGATCAATTGGCATTTGGTTCAACTAATTCCTTGATTTGTTCATCGGGTCAACTTTTGGGTAATTGTACCTTGGTCCTTGAACTTTCACTTTGTGTCATTTTAGTCCTTTTTCGAGTCTTTTCTCATGAATTTCACCATGTTCATCGGTGTTCCCTACAATTCACAAATGCAACGAAATTAAGTCACAATTCAATCATTTTGCTCGTAACTAAGTCATGTTTGTGACCTAAATAAGTGTGCAAAAACACACTTATCAATATATCAAAAACTTTTTCTTACTTTTTAACTACACATTTTTCGAAAAATCACTATTTTAAAATAATTTTTTTCCAAAATTACATTTTAATGGAGCCCAAACAAGGGCTAAAGTTGGATTTATTTTATAAGAAGCAAAAATGAGTTTGGCAATAGGTTGGTTAGATGGAGACAGATTGTGGTCTTATGGGGGGGACAGAAATGGACAAAGGGTCCATTGTAGCTCCTTAACACAAAAAAATCATTGCCAAAGGACCAATTTTTGATGAAGTTAAGAGTACATCCAATGAAGATTGCGTGATCTTACCAATTATGAATGCTATGCCTTTGTAGTTGATAGCATTAGTAAGAGAGACACAGAAATTCATTGAGGTAATAATTTATATGAAAATATGGAAGAAACCCTGGAATATGATACTGGAATAGGTGATGGGCAGTGGGCAACATCTTCCATTCCAACAATGCAAATGATCAGCATGATGAGAGGGTTGAACATAGATAGAATGGAAGAAAATGGCATGGAGAATAATGTACTGGCTGAAGAGGAAAGAAGGAGTGGAACCAGAAGAAGAGCTTGTGGAGTCAGATCACAAAAATGGAGGAGCATTACGTTACTGCTGGTAAAGCTGACAGTCAAAGAGTTCATTGTAATCTTGGGTTTGGTGTATTGTATAGGCCAAAAGATTAGGGATTCTGACAAAGACGACAGGAACTTCGAGGAATGGAGTTTGGACAGTGAAGATGAGAAATAAACATCCAAAAAGGGAACTAGAGTGGATACTTTCAATCCAATGACTGACATGGAGTCGTGGAGTCGTCAAGGTTCAAAAATGGTAAGTGCATGTACAAATAACGTTTTTTGCCATTTATTTTTATTTTATAAGACTTAGGGAGTGTTTGAGCCCGTTTAATTTTTCAAAATGTATTATAGAATAGTAGATTGATGAAAAATGTGTCGTTAAAAGTTGTTGATTTGTATGTAATATTATTTTAATGAATAATGTGTAGTTGAAAATAAGTACCGTAAAAAAAATAATGTGAAATAATGGATGACAAACAAGAGCTTACATTTGAGTAAAAAACATGTTGAACGGTGCAATCACTGAACAATCAGTGGCAATCAATAATGAGATCAAGTATAAGAAGGATGAAGCAAACAAGATTGAGGAAAATTTGCAAGGAAAAATTATGTTCATGGGTACTTTATACCACTAAAAAAGAAACTCTCTATCGAGGACGAGCATTCATCTCAATTTGCATTCAAATCTGCATGATCGAGGATCAAATATTCTTTTCATGTGCAAAAAGAAGATTTGGACGTGATTTTATCCTTATACTTACACACGCGCATAGAGTCTATATATATATATATATATACATATATACATACACACACACACACACATAAAATTACACTTTCACAACATGTTTGGTACGAATTAAAATCTTATTTAATTTAAGTTAAAGTCAGACAATATTAATCACATCTTTCATAGGTCCCACAACTTTCCAATCACACATTTCAAAAATTTCTATCACAATTTATTAAAAAATCTAATTTTAATCCCTACCAAACACCCTATCAGTATGATTAGAATTAGGCAGGAAAATAAGGTCAAATAGAGTCTTGATTGAAATGCCCTTACTTAATGACTCGAGTTAATTGCACACAATCATTTTATGGAGCATCTAGATGAAATGAGACGACACGAGTGATTTGTATAAAGAATATTCGATATGAGATTCCAATTGCCAAAGTAAAATGATAGAGTTGATTTATGCAATAAAGACAAACGATAAAAAAAAATTTGTGCGTGTTATTCATGTTTACTTTTCTTGGCCTTTGAGCCGAACCAAACATGCTTAATTATGCTAAAAGGAAGTTTAGTATGATACATGAAAATAAATTTAAAAAATTTTGGGCTTTAAAGATTTTTATCCCATGTAAATTATTTCGGCGCTGGGTTTATTTTTAAATCTCAATTGACAGACTTTTTTCCAATAGCCAATCGACCCATGTTTGGCCTTACTTTTATAACCTTTATGGGTAACCTTATTTAATTGTTTAATCATCTGACCAAATTGAAAGGTACAAAATTCACTTGACTTACTAAATTTACCTAATATGAATGTGTTTTGGATTTTGATTATTGGCAGTTTTATTTGTCCGATTTGTCATCATTGAAAAGTATAGTTAGGAATTAATGTTTCATGAATAATATTATTTGTACACTACTATGTATATAATGATATACATTTATATGATGTGGAAGAGAGAAAAAGATTATAATAATTGAAAGGGTAATCAGCAGTGAAGGTCCTTACCTTGCAACGTTATTGTTCAAAACGTTTCTACATTTCTTTTTTGGTATTTTTGTCCTTATTTTAACATTTCATTGTTAAAAACATCATTTTCACTATTTTTAATGTAAAATGATCAAAATACCCTCCAATTTAAATAAAAAAAAAATAAAGAATAAAGAATAAATTACAATCTAACTCCTAAATGTTTTAAAAAGTACAAGTGAGTCCAAATAATTATAAAAAGGCCTAATAGTACAAAAAATTCCTACGTTTGGCCTACAGTGTGCAAAATGTCATTACATTTCAAATTGGTTAAAATGACGTTTTTCGCAATGAAACATTAAAATATGGATGAAAACGCAAAAAAAATTAAAACGTAGGGATTTTTTTGCAAGAAGTGTTTAACATAGGGATTTTTTTTGCTATTAGGCCTTAAAAAAAAAAAAAAAAAAAATTGCGAAAAAAAAAACTGGCGGGGTACGATGATTTGGGCGATGGTTGGTCGGAGTTTTTTCACTTCTAACATGGTAATCTCATTTGGAGAAGAAGAGAAGAGAAACAGAGAGAGATTTTTTGCTATTTTTAATATTTTAATAAGGCCTAATAGCAAAACAAATCCCTATGTTTGACACTTCTTGCAAAAAAATCCCTACATTTCAATTTTTTTGCGTTTGTTATATCATTTTTAACCATACAAAGGAGTAAAAAGAGAGGGGGCGTGGCGTGGTGTGGTGTGGCGTGGCGTGGGGTGGCGTGGCGTGGGGGCGGGGACAATCTTTCTTGTTTAATCCTATTAATCGCAAATGTTCATTTTAAAAATAAATTAGATTATATATAAGATTTATGCTTTTTTTTTTCTTTTTCTTTTTTAAACTCAAAGCATTTCAAAAATTCGATTTGATTCTTGCAAAACATTCCTACATGAGACATTTCTAAATATTTACATTCTTGAGGGTTCAACATAGAATAATACATAGTAGATAAGGTTAGGGGTCAACATGGTATATTACCTAGTAGATAAGGTTACAATATACATATAGGTCGCAGAAATAGAGAATTAATATTAATAATTAATGGCAAGCTACAAGATAAGTTATCTTGTTGAATTGAACTCTAAAGATAATAAATAATAATAACAATAATAAGCAAGTGACAATTGCAATAAAGCATGTCCACTTACTATGTGGAATATCTCAAACTTTCTCGAATGATTCCTTGTGCTCTTGGAAATTCCTTCCCTACTTCAAGTCAAAAATCCATTAAATAACTCAACAATTCAATGATATTAAGATACCATTCTATGTCCTTTGGTTTCACAACCACGTGTCAAGATGTGTCGAAAACATTCATATACAATCCACGAATCACAAAATTGACGTACCAATTAAAGATTTAAATACATGAACATTGAATAGATTTATCTCAAAGTTGAAAGTCTCAAAAGGACCGATTTCCTTTTCGAGAGTAAAAATTATTAGTCAAGTGGATTATCTATCATACAACGTGACATGCGTTGGGCTCGTAAGTCTATCTCTACCATACGCTTTTAAACGTTAAGTTTGCATCAACACGCATAAATTATGATGCGACATAAGTGTTACGTGGAAGGAAATAATGCAGTACCTACTTCCGCCGTTGATGGTTGCTAAATTGGTCAACCTGCGGCTAGACCTAAAAGAGGCATGTGCAACACACTGGCCTCGTGCATCTCGTGGAAAATCTTTGGTTCAATTCAATTGGAACCACGACTTTTGTAAAGCTTTGGCAATGGGACCCTATTACCTACAACCGGAGGTGGGCTGGTCCATCCTCCAAATGGGTCGCCCCACGGCAGAGTTTGGACCAATCAAACAAAAGCCCAGACACCGGAATCTGGACAGCCTGACCCAAATATAAACAACCTCCCACGTTAAGCGACCATTGGAAAATAATATTGAAAGTGCAAATCTTTACTTTAAGCCAAATTTTGGCTCCACCCAAATTACTTTAACAAGAATTTTTTTTTCTAGCGACAATAATTTGCATTAAATAAACAACATGGAATAGAAAACACGATTCAAAAATTTTACTTAAAAAAATATATAATATAAGTATTTACATTAGAATACAACTGTAAATGCAAAAATCTACTCTAAAGGTATAAAATTCAACTGGTAGAAAGATATCAATTTCATGTAAGTTTTCTAATTAAGAATATTTAGTTGGAGTGACGTGTAAAAGGGGTCAAATGAGGATCAAGGAAGCATATCATCCCCAAATAAATATTGCATACGCTCCACCGCCCAGTGCGGTGGCTCCGGCAGCGGCGTAGGCTGAAGAGAAACCCGGCAAAGCGGGCATGTTAACCGGCAGCCATCATAAGATAGCCACTTCTCAAGACAATGCTTGTGGAAGACGTGGCGGCAGTTTCTGAGCTCACAGACGTTGCTTTTCTTCTTCAACTGGTTCAAACACACGGCACATGAATTATCGCAGTTTTCCGGCAGCCTATGTTGGATGTTTCCGAAGGTGGTCGAGCTCAGACTGTCCTTAACTATCTTCAAATTGGCCAAGGACGACGAAGAAACGGGGATTCTTTTAAAGGAAGTTTGTGCGAAGGAATCTGAAGAAGCTGAGAATAGAGCCATAGAATTCAGGAGATTAAGAGCAAAGGACAAGAGCCATCTAGTCACAGCAAAAATGACAGCTGCTTTGCACAGCACAAAATGATCGCTCACAACCATTGAAGCACTCAGCAAAATCCTAGCAATTACAAGAGAAGGGAACGGGAGAGGAGGGGGAGATTCTTCAGAAACAAAATGCTGGTATATATAGATAGAACTATAGATATAAAGTGGCTGATGTCATTACCTTTTTTGCACAATACACAGTAATATAAAACTAGGCTGACAGCTGACTAGTGAGATTTTGGGAGTCAGTTGAGCAATTTTTTTAAACTAATGGAAGCCAATTTTGATGAAATGCATATTATGCAAAAGATGGCATTTTTCCACATCAGATCTGATGGCATACCCACATTTTTTACTACCTTTTTAATGGCAGCAAGTCAGCAATAAACAGCTCATGACTATCCTGCATATCATAAAGGGGAAAATGAAAATAACAAGCTTATCCAACCATAAAGCTACTTTAGAAGATAGATTTAAGTAAAAGAAAAGAAGAGGTGTCTGCATTTTGGTTTGTAATACATTATCAGCATCCATGTGCATGTTGCTATTGAAGATCATCACCGACTTTAAGGAAGCTCCATGAACTCTCTAGAAAATTGGTGATGATTCATGACTAGAAGAATCTAGAATGCATCCATGCCTAGAAGATGCTAAGAGAATCCAATTACTATCACCACCATTTATGGAAGTATCTAGAATTTTGTTCACCACCATACTAGAACCTTCCACAATCATCCATTAACACCTATAAATATAAGGTGATTGTGTATGCATGAGTGATGAGAGAAAGTGTGTGAAGAGAGTGAGAGCAAATAGAAAAAATGGGAAAGAGAGACATAGTGAGGTAGTGTAGTGTGTTAGTGAGGAGTGTCTCCATATAATCGAAGTGTGTCCAAAAGTGTGTAAAATCTATTTTATAAATAAAATAATATCAAAATTTAAGTCTTAAATTCTAAAATTGGTATCAGAGCAAGGCGGTCGGAGAAGGATTTTTTGAGCTTCTTGAGTTTGTGCACAAAAGGAGTTTGTGAAGCTTTTATAAAGTTTGCTTGATTATGAGGAAGTAAATTAAGTCACGATGGGCGATCTACAAGTGGTAGGCTGTGTAAAGAAGCTCAACAATCATAATTATACCACTTGACAAACTTGCATGGAGTCGTATCTCCAAGGGCAAGACCTGTGAGAAGTCGTTGACAGAAGTGACGTGACGCCGCCAGAGGAGGCTGGAGCTCTGAAGAAGTGGAGAATCAAAGATGGTAAGACTTTGTTTGTTATAAAGACAACAATTGAAGAAGAATTGTTGGAGCATATAAGAGAGAAGACTACACTAAAGGATGCATGGGAATCTTTAGCCTTACTATTCTAAAAAAAAAAATGACCTGAGATTTCAATTGTTGGAAAACGAGCTGCTATCATCTACTCAAGGAAAATTAACGGTAAGTCAATATTTTACTAAAGTTAAATATCTTTGTCGTGAAATTTCTGAATTAGACGCTTCAAGTAAAATTTTGAAGTCTCAAATGAGAAGAATAGTCATACATAGATTGAGACCCGAATTCAGAAGTTTTATCACTGCAATGTAAGTTGGCCCGAATAACCTTCATTGGTTAATCTTGAAAATTTGTTGGCTGACCAAGAGCGTTAACTAGACAAATGTTAGGAGTGTCGATAAAGAAAGAAGAAAAAAGAAGCATTATGTAGCTATAAAAGAAGATGTCGATTTCGTCAGCAAAATTATAAAGAATTAAAAGAAGATAAATCTAAAGGATGGATTGAGAGAAGCTATCAGACAAGGGGAGCTCAGCAAAATTATGACAAGAAATGTCAAGGATATTAACGAACTAATGTCGCGTGCTTTGTATGTGACAAACGAGGCCATTGTGCTAAAGATTGTTGGTTTAAAAAGGAGTTAGTAGAAGGCAATATAGCTACATCTAACGAGCAACAGAAATACAATAGTGAAGAAGAATGAGATGCTAAGGCAATCGTAGCAACATTTGATCATATTCGAGAAAAGAAATTCAACTCGAGTGTGAAAGATGAATCAACATTGGTGGTAGTCTTGCCTAAGCAAATAAATTGCGAAGATGATTGGACTAATGACTCAGGAGAAGATGATTAGATTAATTTAGAAGAGGACATCGTATTTCATAAAGAGTTTTCAGGGTGGACTCCGCAGAGGGAGAAACTATTAGAATTAGAAGAAGTTTTCGAAGAAATGCAAACACCGCAGAGGATGGATCTGCTAGATCAGACACCGCAGATGGCAGAGCAGACACCGAAGAGGGTGGATCTGCTAAATTTAAAGGAAATGGATAACAAATTGCAAGAGGAAATCACTGAAGCACAACAAAGCTCTGGAGAAACTAAAGATTTGTGAATGCTAAGTAATAAATAAGAGTTTATTAGAGCAACACAAAGAACGGAGGATCAAAGATGTCAACAAGATATTAAGGTACGTATAAATCCACAATCACAAATAAGAAAATCTGGAGGATGTGAGAATTCAAGCACCAAGTATACCAATCTAAAAATCAATGAAGAAGAAAGAATGGAAAAACAAAAAATATTTGAAGTGGTAGATATGCTGAACGAGAAATCAAGTGCTTCAAATTTCATCAAGGCAAAGTTGGGCATGACAAAAAAGAAAGAGTTAAAATGAAAAGTCGGTGCTGAAGGGAAGAATTGAAGATCATCACCGACTTTAAGGAAGCTCCGTGAACTCTCTAGAAAATTGGTGATGATTCATGACTAGAAGAATCTAGAATGCATCCATGCCTAGAAGATGCTAGAAGAATCCAATTACTATCACTACCATTTATGGATGCATTTAGAATTATGTTCAGAACCTTCCACAATCATCCATTAACACCTATAAATATAAGGTGATTGTGTATGCATGAGTGATGAGAGAAAGTGTATGAAGAGAGTGAGAGTAAATAAAATAAGTAGGAAAGAGAGACATAGCGAGGCTATGTAGTATGTTAGTGAGGAGTGTCTCCATATAATTAAAGTATGTAAAATCTATTTCATAAATAAAATAACATATTTCTTTAAGTCTTAAATTCTATACCTCCGTCTACACAGGTTGTCGACTTGGTTAATTGAAATGTACAAATTATATAGACTACGATGGGTGCACACGTTAGTTAGCCACCCTCCATACCCTTCTCTAATGCTAATCTTGATCAAGAGGAGGAAATATTGAATTCATTACATAACATTAGGTGAATGCCTACAAATCATATAGATATTTTAGTCATCAAATGCTTAGAACTGTAAGTCCAACTAAGGCAATAGATTTTGAGTTACTTGATCTTTGAAGATGTCACAAATGTAGATATCCCATTGTTTCTATGGTTGCACGTGATCTACTAATACTTCCGACTAACACTCTAGAACCAGAGTTTGCTTTAGTGCATTTGACCAAGTTTTGTCTGATTTCAGAAATTGGCTCGAAGAAGACATTTTAAAAAGCTTAATGTGTATAAAGGATCGACAAGAAGCTCATTTTCAAATCTAAAAATAAGTAATGCCGAAATTGTGTGTAATCAGGTAAATGATATTTAATTTCGACATATTGATACTTTGTTAATTACCTAATAATATTAAGTTGTTTGAAATAATTGTACACATGGTAAGTTGTTCGTGTATAATTTTAACTCTACCTATTTTAAAATTAAGTAATCGATCTCAAGCCTAGGAAAAAATGAGGGTTTTAAAAAAAGGTGAATTTGTGAGGCAAGCTCCCTTGAGGATGAATCAAGCTCAACTGGTCCTCCGACAACCTATTGCCACTCCTAAGTTACTAGCTTTGTGTTGTAGGAGAGGTAGTGTAGTGTGTTAATGAGGAGTGTTTCCATAAAATCAAAGTGTGTCAAAAAGTGTGTAAAATCTATTTTTTAAATGAAATAATATCTTTCTTTAAGTCTTAAATTCTACAGCTATCCGTCGTCGGATATGATAAACTTCTACGAGACACTTGTTTCACTCCCTACAGATCAGTCGGCCACTCCGTGGACACCCTTCTACTCTATAATTGAGTCGTATATTTTAAATAAGTAAATAACAAACTATACTCAATTTAGCTAAAATGAGATGCAGGACCTGAAGGAACCACAATTTTGGTAAGCGGGTTGACTGGTCCCAAAAATAAATAATAAGATAAATATATCTACCTTTATGTTGGTCCCAGAGTGTTTCAATAATTTTTTTGAAACATATTGTACGAACTATTAAATTGCAGAAACATAAAAGAAACAACAACAACAGAATTGTTTTGCCCCAAAAAGGAGTCGAATGTTTGGTCTAATCAACCTACTCATCCGTTGAGTATCTGCCAAGAGACTAAGATCAAGATCCACTAATCTGCACAAAGAAATAGTACAGAATATATGAAGAAATCAGAGATTTCTTCAAGTTCATTCTAGTCTCTCTATCTCTCTATATCAAATCTGTAACGAACTCGGAGATCTTTCAAAGATCACTCAAATCACCCTCATTCTCACCAAGATAAGAGATTAAATCACACAGATTCAAGTTAGAAATTTTAGAGAAAAACCCTACCTCACACAGAGAAAAGAATCGTTTAGATACCACACATACTGAAGACTATTCGGCAAGTTCACAATAGCTGCGTAGAGGCCTCCGAGCTTTCAAATTTACTGACAAGGAAAGCCAGCGTCTTTTAAGAAGAGGATAGCCGGCTTATTTCACTCCTAAGCCAAAAGGGTAAAACCAAGTATATGTATCTATCCATATGAAATGTTTCAATCTAGGATCAAGAGTGAGCCACGTGTACGACATATCATAACCTATTAATAGAGGCAGAGAAATGTGACACTAGAAACATGATGTTTATACAATGGGCCACAAAACTGATCACCAAAACAATACAAACCAAAAGACCAAGTAAAAAGTGAGGTAGCCCAATATTTAACAATCTGCACCTTACTGAACTATTTCTTAGTCTCAACTAATGGATCTACGCATCTCTTGACTTCATTTACTCTAAGAACCTGTAAAAAGAAAAATTTAGAGTTAGTTTAGTTTTCAACAAATAAAGGCTTGATATTCTAATTATCACTTGATCACAACCTTCAAGTGATGTTTAGAATTTTCAAGCAATATATAAACTTATTAAGAGTCAGGATTTTAGTTCCTAAGTCAGAGGGGTTAAATTCTGTAGGAATCTAACAAAACAAATCAAACCTTTCTCAATCATGTTTCTCACAAAGAGAAACTTTATATCCACATGCCTTATTTTTGTCATGGTGAATTTTTGCTAAGATGAATGGCACTTTGATTATCAGTATAAATCATAACATTTATAAAATCAATTTCATTTAATAACCCTCTTAAGCAAATGTTTTCTTTAATAGCATCACATGCATCAATTTACTCAATCTCAATAAAGGACAATGCAACCAATTTTTGCAATTGAGATTTCCAACTAATGCAACCATTACACAAAATAAAGATATAAGAAGATGTGGATCCTTTTTTATCAAGGTCACCAGTAAAGTCACAATTAGTGTATCATTTTGGAGTTATCCCTTTATTGCTCCTTTTAAACATAATCCTGTGTTTTTCTTTTAAATATTTCATAATCCATTTTATAGCTAACCATTGTGTTTCACCTAGAATTGCCACAAACCTACTTAAGATGCTAAGTCCATAAGCTAAGTCAGGTCTAGTGCACACCATAAGGTACATTCCATTCTTTTTAATTCACTGTTTTAGGTGACTGATTACTGGACAGTTTAAAATGATTAGCAATGAGTAGAGAAACAGGTTTACACTCAAGCATAGAAAATTTCTTTGGAGTTATCCCTTTATTGCTCCTTTTAAACAAAATCCCATGTTTTTCTTTTAAATATTTCATAATCCATTTTATAGCAAACCAGTGTGTTTCACCTGGAGTTGCCACAAACCTACTTAAGATGCTAAGTCCATAAGCTAAGTCAAGTCTAGTGCACACCATAAGGTACATAATGGATCCTACAACATTAGCATAAGGGACATATTCCATTTTTTTTAATTCATCATTAGTTTTAGGTGACTGATTACCAGACAGTTTAAAATGATTAGCAATGAGCAGAGAAACAGGTTTACACTCAAGCATAGAAAATTTCTCAAGTATTTTCTTTGCATAGGGGGATTTTTTTTTTAAAAAATAGAATGCAATTATGTCTATCTCTTTCTATTTTCATTCGAAGAATCCTTTTACTTGGCTTAAATCTTTCATTTAAAATTCAAATTTTAGTTTTAATTTAACAATATCAATTTCAAATTTATCATGACAAGCAAGTAACATGTCATCAACATATAATAACAAATAAATGGATTCAGGTCCACCTGACTCTTTGTAAAACAAACAAGAGTCATAATTGATTTTCACAGAACCTAAAGTCTGCACATATGAGTTAAATTTTATATACCGTTGCGACTTGTTTTAGCCCATAAAGAGACTTTTCAGTTGACAGACCTTATCAATTTTTTATTTTACTTCATAGCCCTTAGGTTAGTTCATATGTATAACCTCATCAAGATCACCATTAAGAAAATGCTGTTTTGACATCAAGTTGATCCAGTTCTCAGACAAAATAAGCAGTTAAGGCTAACAGAATTCTAATAAAAGTATACTTAGTAACTGGTGAGTATATTTCATTATAGTCCATTCCTTCCTTTTGAGTGAAACCCTTGACCACAAGTCTGAATTTATATCGTTTATTTTCTATTTTTTAGAATCTCCTTGCTTAATTTTGAAAATTCATTAACAGTCAACTACATTTTTATCTTTAGATTTGTTGACTAAGACCAGGGTATTATTTTTTATTGAAGAATCCTTTCTTCATTCATGGCTTCTTTTCAATACTTAGAGTCTGGGCAGTTAATAACTTTCTCAAAGGTAGTAGGTTCAGAATTCAAGGAGTCTAATGCAGAGAATAGAGTGACAAAATCATCATTACTGAAACTAGTTGAAGATATTTTGTTCTTTCTTTTTCTATTTTTTGTGAGTTGATAATCAACAAGAGGTGGGTTCATAGATTCAGTTTCAATTTCTGGTTCATTTTGGTCATTCTCCATTTCAGATTGAATAGTCTCCACCTCAGTTAAGTCATCTTGATTTACAACATTATCGGTTTGACTTTCCAAAACAGTTTCTTTGATAGGTGTAGATTCAGTAGATTTTGGAATTGAAGTGTTGTTGCAGGGAATATCATTTTCATTAAAGATGACACAAACAATCACCATATAACCATTTTGGCCCTTGACCCAAAGTCTATAGCCTTTGGTTTCCTCTCCATAACCCAAAATAATATATGTTAAGGATCTAGGTTCAAGTTTACCTTCACTTTGATGGGAATAGGCTACGCAGCCATAAACTTTAAGTTTACTATCACCTAGCATCTTCCCTCACCACAATTTTTCTGGGACATTAAAATCAATGGCACTAGATGGACTTCAATTAATAAGATAGGTGGCAATTTTTAGGGCTTTCCCTAGAAAAAATTTGGAAGCATACATCTGACCCTTTCTAGTAGAGCACTGTTCATTCTTTGAGCAATACCATTTGCTAAGAGGTGTATATAACAATTCTACACCTTAGTATCCCAAACTCTTCACAGAAAGAATCAAATTCAAAATTACAGAATTCAAGTCCATTATCTATTCTAAGCACTTTAATCTCTCTTGTTTGTTTGATTTTCAATCATCAATTTTCATTGTCTGAGAATTTGAAAAGTATGAATTATAAATGTATTTTATACACTTAGGTACCTAAGATAGTAAGATTTGATGGTTCTTTTGACAAAAGATATCCTAAATTTTTATATTTTATGTTCAATAGGTATACTATGAATGAAAAAAGAGTTGAAGGAAAGAAACAAAAAATTGGTGAAAATGGCAAAATCCAAAGTACGGGGATTAAATTGGCCATTGGATAGAAGCTGAGGGATCAAAATCTAGACTTTGAAAGTTGAGAACTTAAAGAAAATAAAAAAAAAATACTTGGGCCTCATGCTTGGAGAATAAGGGCTGAAAATAATAAGGAAACAAACCTGCTGTGGGAATAAAAGAGAAGCACTGGCTGAATTATAGAGAGACATTACAAGCACAAGAGTTCTAATTGGGAGAGTTTTGGTTGGAACTACAAAAACATTGAAGTTGCCTTGGACTCCTACTCACACAAAAATAGAGGGTTGCCTAGGGATTTAATATAGAAGACAACTGCCAGAGAGGAGAGAAAAAAGAGAAGGAGTGTTGGCTGCTTTAATAATTTATACACATTGAAAAGAAAGGTGGCTACTTTATATGTTAATTTAATTCAAGACAAGTAGTTTAGTTAAATTTTTGCAATTCTTGATTAAC